GTTATCTATTTCTTTCTTTACTCAATGCCTGATTCTCACGTAGTCTTCTCGTGCCTCTGGAGTCTTCATTCCTGTTATTTGTAACTCATGTTATTTTTGTTAATTTTTCTTTTATCTAAAGTTTCTTCCGCTGATTGTAGGATACATTTTTTATTAATTTTCCAGGTTACTTCTATACTCTTTTTAGTCTCTAGGTTATGGCTGTTTAGCTTTTCTATTGGTGTGTTTCTATACATGTTTTGTGTCACTTTTTCTTTTTTTAAGTTTTCTGTGTTTAACTTTTCTTCTACTTTTGTATTTCGCTTGGCTCATGTGGTAATTGCTATATTCCTTTTCCAAGTACCAGGCCATGATCGGATCATACATTGGTGGAAGAGAGAGTGCGCACATCTATTATATTCTTGGGGCTGTGGGGGAAGTCTTTACGCTTAACTTATACTCTTGGTAAGGTTTGCCCATTGTTTTGACAGTTTTTTTTATTGCATACTGGGGATGGCAAGTATATTATATCCCTCGTTTTGGGTGTGAGCTATGATCAGAAATTTATGCGTAATTGATTTTATGTTTGGCTATGTTGTAACAGTATAATATTTGTACTTGGTCATCATGTAGATGTTTTTTTTACTGCCCGCAGCATTTGACACCATCAAATATTACCAGGCAATTGTCAGTTTTGTCACTTAAACAACACAAATATTTGAGCATACAGTTTTCAATTTATGTGATTATTGTAGCATAGTACAATTTTGTCGCTTTTCAGTTTCGCAATCGTAACGTTACAAATTGGCCCTAACTGGCCCAACGCCATTTGATGGACTTATTTTTAACAAAATTGTGTGGCAGTTTAATAAATAATGGGCAAAAATAAAAATAGTTTTTATACGAATATCTCAAAAATCGTTTGTTTGCTCTCGTGCTTTTATGATTTCACAGCGATGTAATATATTTGCTGTATTTGAAACTCGTTAAACGAATTAATTTTGTGTTAAATGTAGAACTACCGCCCATTCACCAAAAGACATTGATGTTTGATTTGTATTGTGTCCATATTACAACACAAATTAATGAATTTTGTAACCTTTATCTTGAAACTAAAAATTTATAGTGAAATGACATTCACCTAGCCAAGTAGAATGCCAAATGATAAGACCAATTTACTGTCGATATGTCTTTAATGGTTGCAGACTATTGCTTTTTAAAACAAGTTTTTTTTTTAATTTTTATTGAATGATTCTTAACACATATTATGTAAATACTTATTAGTAATTGTTTGATTTTATAGCGTATTGAACGCAAGAAATAAATTATATCATTATTTTTTATAATTTCTTATTAAATACTAATTTCTTTGTTTATTAAATATATACGATCGATAGTTGGAGTTTGTAATTCAGCTTCCATAAAAATAACGCTTTGGCATTTTTATGATTTGAAAATTACTTATTTTATTACGATATATGACTCAAAATTACCTATAATGTCTAAGAGTATTAAACACTTTGATAATTTAAAAATATATTAACTAGACAGTACGTCAAGTATGATTAATTAGATGGTATATACGCACATGTGGTTCATTCCAAAAGGTAATATGAAGCGATACATTAAGGAATAGGCATTGCCACTAGAAATGTTACTGAAACCAGCAATAGTATTAGATAATATTGAAATTGTTATTGGTAATACTTTTTTAAAAATAAATAGTCAACATATCACATACAAAAGTAAACAAAATATTTCTGAGTAGACTATTGTATGACAGAAAAAAAAATAAGTCAAACTGAGCGCTGTATGGTAATAGGGGGCCAACAATATAAATTGCTTATACTCGACATTGGCTTGAGAAGCAAAACAAAACCATGAGAAAAAGGTCTATTTACAATAATACTAGTAAAATACTAAGCTGGAACATTTAAGTGAGTTTAAATAAAATTTTGAGAAATACGGCCAGTGTTATTAGAGCAGTTTGAGAACAATAAGGTCCGGTGATGAAAAACAGAAGTTAATATAATAATAAAAATAGAAATAAAAGAAAACTTTATAAAGAGTGGTAAAAAAATCTATATATCAATAATTCCCCGGGAGACCGGTCCTGGAAAGGTATGGTTAAGTTGTACTGATATTGCACTCCTAGTTTGTAATAAAAACAAGTGGTTTTATTAAATAGTTTTTTAAAATTAAAGTGTTTATCTACTAGATACTACTATGTAAGTCATCTAAACGTAATTAATATTTTATTATTGTAAAAAGAAAACGTCAAATAATAAATTATACACTACCGTACAATCATTTTGTGAGGTTAGCTGCTATAAGTAGCTTATAGTAGCATGCGGTTGGTTTGTCACTTACCAGAGTCGGAGTAAGGCCTTCGCCGCCGCAACTTTAAATGACTTCACACAATGTAAACACACCATCCAATCGAACCAGTCTAGTAAATCAACGGTCGAATATTACAAACAGTTATGCATCAGCCGCTTCACATTCTTTTCAGAGTAAGACCCAAGCAATTGTATTAAGTTGTATCGATAATGCTAAACTGCAGGATTATCTCATTCCTTTGTGCACAATCACCAATTCAAAAAATATTATTTGTTCATCTAAAATATCTAATAGAATCTGTATGTATTTGGCAAACAAAACCGTAGTAGATAACTTCATGACACAACATGGCCCTATAGAAGTACTCGGAGAAGTTGTATAAGCACGAAGACTTGTCTCCTCAGCAGAAAGACTAGTCTTGTCTGAAGTCTGCCCGTCAACAATTACGTTATTATTAGTTGAAGAATTACAGAATATCGGTTTAAAGCTTATTTTCCCAATAACATTTCTGAAAATTAGCTCGACTCTTCCCGAATATAGTCACATATTGAGATTTTGGTTTTATTAAGTTTATATAAGCACTATAACATCACCAATTCCAGATTCTATTCTAATAAATTTTGACCAAACACCTTACTGCAAATTTTTGTCACAATCAAACAGCTTCAACAAGTATACTACACAAGGTACCAAAAACCTAGCAGGCATTATAAAATCCGAGAATATCACCTACACCTACAAATCTCCATGACAAAAAAATTACTAATACTCCTACTCATAGCAACGCTTCCAATCGACCTCATTCAGCGGCAATACCGTTTTCACAAACTTCAGAAGCAATATCCTCTAATCTATCAGCTCCTTTTCCATTAGATACAACTGTAGAAAATTCTAATAAAACTGATACCTCATTACAATTTTCTGAAACAACCATTTCAACCAGTCTTACAAATGAAACTTCAAGCTCGACTTTTGTCACTACCAATGAGTTTGCTGCACTACTTCCAAATGTAATAAAGCCATAGCATCTAAGTGAAAACTCTAATAAATTGTGAAAACGCAAGTTCTTCCATAAAACGCAGTATTGGTGAGATCGTCAGTCCTCTTTCAGACTTAGCAATTTCATCAGAAAATTTGTTTGCAAAGCCTAAACCCTCCAAACAAAAAAAACTGCGCTCATCTAAAGTCCCATCTACACGGGAAATTCTTTAAAATATCATTAATAATCATACCCCACTATTCGTTATAAATTACCACCAATTTTCTTTACTGATTGATAATGTCAAAGGCTCCCCCGACACTATTAGCGTCGTCAAAGAATGTACAACTGATATGTCTGGTTTACTTTACCTTTTACAAAGCAGTTATCAATATGCAAATGATAGATCTACAAAAAGTAAATTTAAAAAACTTTAAAAGAAACTACACAACCATTTAGGCAAAGATATCTGACTTAGATAGTGACTCTTCTGTAGACAATTGTTCAGTATCATCTAACTCCGAATCTGTTAATAACATTTAACTCGATACTTCAATAAAACATTGATGGATTTTTCCATCGTCTTCCTATGCTACAGCTTCTTTTATCTGTTGCTAAAATACCGGCTTTCCCAAGCTCATCAACATGGAAGAAGCGTTCAATTTTTATGGGTTCCCTCACACGTCGGAATAACAGGAAATCAAGAAGCAGGACCGCACAAAATACAATTTTATTTGACATTTGACTCTTCTTCGAAAAATGACATTATAGTTTGATGCTTCTTCTTCTGAGATTCCATTGTAGAATTTTTCACTACACTTATCACACTTAAATAAAAGTTATATAAAGTGCATCTACTATATTTGTTAATATGTATCGCCTAATGCATTTATTTAAAATAAATATAAAACTTGGCATAACATACACGAATTACTATGATTTGTTCGAGTAAACTATACACAAACAAATACAATGGGGCGAGTCATTTACAAAACCTAAATTCTCTATTTATTTATTTTTTGTTTCAACTAGTGCCGGAACGGCGTTCCGGCACCATGACACCACTGTTTTTAAAGTAGATAAGCCAAGTTGGTAGCCAACTACTTCGACGAGTAGTAATAACTATTCGTAGAAATGGTCTTTTGACTGTAAGTTTTCTTAAGCTGGTTCGAATTATTATACACGTGTTAGCATTTTCGATTGTCGAATTGTTAAATTGTCGATTTAAACTGTAAAAATATTCTCCTTTTCTCAATGTTTATTCAACAAATCGTAACCATGAAACGATTCAATACTTTAAATTTTACAGGCTAAATTCATGGGTTCCAAGTAGGGATAACAAATTCTCGTAACTGAATATTTTGATCTAAAGTAAAAGAATGTTTATTTAAAATAACTTAAATAAATAGAAAGTTAATATAAGTGTGTATTTCTAACAGTACATATAATGTAATATTAAATGCATATATTTAGGCTGTTCGTTTATTTGCACCTAATAATTATGTTATTAAACATAATCATTTTCGGGCAAAAAGACATAAGAGTTACAGTACTTAATTAATATTTAAATCTTAACTTACGTGAGTAAATACTAAACGATTCTAAAGGAGTATAAGCGAAAAATTATCGTTTGGGAATTTATCTAAATATTAACAAAAAAAAAGTATGTTTTGCTTAATCATTAATAATTTTTTTTTTTTAGAAAAATGGTACTTCCGTAGATAATATTACGATTTTCACAGGAGTGAACGACATAACAAAGTACGGTATTATTGAAAGTGTCAACGGAAGAACTAATTTAAGTCACTACGGTACAGATCAATGTAACAGCCTTGAAGCTTCTGATGGCTCTATCTTTCCTCCACATATGACTAAGAATACCACTTTGTACATTTTTGACAAGGATCTGTGTCGAAGATTGCCATTAGTGTAAGTACAATTATTATACTTTTAAAAATTGTTACTAATCTATATATAAGTAGTATAACTTAAAATATAATTAGTTTATAAGTTAACATCATCATCATCATCAGCCCATAGTAATCCACTGCTGAATATAGGCCTCTTCGAAAAACCTCCATTCAGATCTATCTTGCGCTGCTGCAATCCAGTTGGTACAAATCCTCTTTATGTCGTCAGTCCATCTTGTTAGTGGTCTTCCCGGGCTTCGTCTATCCGCTCTCGGTCTCCACTCCAAGATTTTTTTGGTTCACCTATTATCCTTCATTCTAGCGACGTATCCTGCCCCCCTGCATTTAATTTTGGCTATGTGTTTTATAATGTCTTCTACACCACTTTTTCTACGTTTTTCTTCGTTTCTTACCTCATCTCGCAACGTTATGCCTAACAATGATCTTTACATTCTACGTTACGTCACTTGTAGTTTTCGTGTAGATGTCCTTGTTAGGTCGTGTCTCTGCGTTATATGTAAGGACAGGCAAGACACACTGATTAAAGGCTCTTGTTTTTAAGCTGATATGTATATCACCTTTAAAAATATCACGCAGTCTTCTATATACTGCCCATTCCAGTGTTATTCTTGTTAGCAACTCAGCAGTTTGACTATCTCTGCTAATTTTTACCGTATGTCCAAGGTATATGTTGCTGTCAACAATTTCAATTCCGACGTCTTTTACCCTTAAAGGATGGCTCGGAACTAAATTAGTGATCATTTTTGTCTTTTGGAAGTTAATATTTAGACCTACTTTACGTGCTGAATCGCTAAGTTCATTCAAGATATTACTGGCAGCCTTAAGGTCATCTGAAATCAGAACAATATCATCTGCGAATCGTAGATGACTAAGCATCTCACCATCAATATTTTAATATGTATTCCTTTACTTTCCCATTACAGTAACTTCAAAGCATCTTTAAGTACAGTAATGAACAACTTAGGCAACATAGTATCTCCCTGTCGACTACCTGTCCTGATATGTATCTTATTGGTAGGACCGTGCAGGTTTATAGTTGTTGTACCATTTCTGTAAATATTTTCCATAATATTGGTGTACCTATGATCAATTCGACACTCTTTCAATGCCTTTAGGAGTGCGGGTAGTTCGATAGTATCAAACACTTTATGGAAGTCTATAAATGTTAGAACTAGAGGTATATTGTATTTAATTGATTTTTCAATCAAGACTCTTATGCACTGTAGGTGGTCATTTGTACCGTAGTTGGGGCAAAAACCAGTCTATTCTCTTGGCTGATATAGCTCAAATTTTGCTTCCAATCGAGTGGTTACTATTCTGGTGTACAGTTTGTATAAATGGTTGAGTAGAGAAATTGGCCTGTAATTCTCTAGGTTCATGTTGTCACCCTTTTTATTCAGAAGAATTGTAATGGAGTTATTTCAAGCTTTAGAAATTTTTTGACTATACAAGCAGAGATTGAAGAGGTCTCGTATTTTTTTCAGAAGAGAAGTTCCGCCAAGTTTTATAGCTTTTGTAAGTATTCCATCATCTCCTGACGCATTGTTGTTTTTCATTTTTTTGAGTGCATATTGTATCTCATCTTGAGTAATTTCTGGAATATCCTGATACCTGGTTTTGAATCTTTTATCTACCGTCGTCATTTACGTTATTGTTAATTTGGTTTGTGTATAATATAGTGTAGAATTCTTCGACTATTTCAAGTATTTTCTGTCTGTCTGTTTTTTCTGGAAAAAGCTGGAAATTTTCTTTTCTACTTGTCGCCATTACTTTTCTACTTTTCGTCTCATTACCTTCATGTTAGTGTTTTGCTCTATAGTCTGTACGATTTTTTAATGTTTAAATTTCCTAATATCTCTTCTCACAGCTTTCGATATGTCTTTATTGAGTGCCGGAATGTTTTGTAGGTCAACGTTCCTTTCACTTTTGGAACTGTCCTCTTTCTGTTAGTTTGAGTTGTGTTTCTAAAGTGATCTTTTGATCTCGTTTAGTCTTTGGGCAAAAACGTACTTGTGCCAGTTTAACTGTATCAACTATTTGTTTGTTCAACTCACCGACATCATTTGGTATTATGTTGTGATCAATGGTGTTGTTAATGTAGTTTCCAAATGCTGTTTGCAGCATTATTACAGCATTTGCAGCATTATGAGTTATACTATGACATAAAGTTGATGGAGAAATGGTGAGAAAAATCTAGTAGCCTAGAAAAAATATTTCACTTGACCCCATTGAGATTCAAGGGGAGCGTTTAGCTTAAAAGATTAACCTTAAGCCTTAAAATGTCAGTGTTATAGAACTTGAGTTTACAAAATCAACCAGAAAATATTACGAGGCTTGTTGAATTGAAACTAATTTTTACGAGAGAAAAAATTTATTGTTAAGTAAATCTACAAATAATTATCACTATAGTTAAATAATATATTCATATGTTTATATTTATTTTAATAAAAATTACATTTTTATATAACGTTTGACGTTTCGATTTCCATTCCAGAAATCGTTTTCAAAAACAATATTTAAAAAAATTGTGCAAAAATTTTAAGCAACAAGTGTTTGGTTGGGTTATGTTGTTCAAAAATAACAGTTGACTTACTTGACTTCGATCTTGTCGACAATAGAATTTTTTGTGTACAAAAAATCTAAGGGTGGTGTTTTTACCTTCGGAATATCAAATTAAGCGTAATTACTTACGTAACTAATAAATTCATAGTTAATAAATATATTACTTAGATTACTTTATTTTTATTTTTTAGATTCGACAAAGAGGTTCTAGCAAGTAGTAATGAAGTACCTGCTTATAGATTTACCCCACCTAAAAATGTATTCGGAAGTGTAGAGGAAAACCCAGAGAACGCCTGCTTCTGTTCTCAGGGTCCACCATGCACACCATCTGGATTCTTCAACGTATCGCTCTGTCAGTATGGTATGTATCATTTAACATAATTCGACCGTTACTTTATGTAAATTCATTTTATGTAACAATAAAACACTGAAAACTTTGTTTTCAAACTTCCACAAAATTTATTTTAAATCTTATCACTACAGCTGTTTCGGCTGATAGCCTTTCTCAAGTGATCTATTTTTGGCTTGGGTTTACAAATTTAGTCTCTAATGAAATAGGTTGAGGAGGGGAGAATTGTTTGTCTCAAGTTGGTCATTCAGAATTATATCTGTGTTTTTTAATTTGTTAATTTCCATAGATTCTAACAAAGATAGCTTAAGGCCTTTATTCTGAATGTGAAGAATTTTAAAATTGCCATTAAAAGAATGATTATCATCTAGAAGGTGAAGTGCGTATGTCGAATCTGTTTTTCTATTCTTGAAAGCCCTTTTATGTTCTGCTATTCGTTTATCAAAGTTTCTACCAGTTTGACCGATGTAAGTTTTTGGGCAGTCGCCACATTGAAGTTTGTACACACCACTATTTAAGTGTTTTTTATTTTGGCTCTTGTTAGTTTTAATATATTTGCCTAGGTTGTTATTTGTTCGGAAAGCTGGTTTTTTATGTGTTTGGCAATTTTTGTTGTTATTTTGCCTGTATATGTAATCGAGCAGAAAGTACTGGGTCTTTTCTCTGGTGGTGGAAATACTAATTTCAGGGCTTTCTTGTGTAGTTTTTGATTTTAACATTTTATTAATTGTTTGTTCGTTGTATCCGTTGATTACTGCTATTTGCTTAATTATATTTAATTCTGTCTTAAAGTTGTCTTTTGACATCGGAATTTTTGTTAATCTATCAATTGATGACAATTCATCATCCCATCCAACACAACATAAACTGGCAGCTTATCATAGTATGTTACATAGATTAGTACATACATAGTACATAGATTAGTACAATGGTTACAATGATTACAGTTACGCGGATAGTACAATGAATCCTAGAGCTAAGATTAATACTATTACAAAAATTAATATTAAACTTATCAGTCTTCCGGGTTGAACCGCGTCGATATCCATTTTGCCGAGCTTTCGACATCCTCTCTGATGTCTTCCTCAGGGCTTCCGAGGTCTTAGTCTCTTGAGCCCCCAGACACTACTACACTGTTCACTAATCACTGCACTGACACTACTACGGCTGGGAAGGAAAGACGGTTTATTTATACCGTCGATAATGGTGTGGCTTAGGTGGGGGTTGGGATGGGGATTGGCGCCAGAGTTGGCGTTCGGGTTGGCGCGAGAGTTAGCGCGATCATTTCCGACTGTGGGATTTTGATTCAAGAATGGAGGGGGCGATATTTTCTTTATAAGAGTTCTCCATGTAGAAGGTAACCGTATGGCTTCATCTCTTTTATTAGGACAATTTTGCCTTTTTTCTATTTCTATGGCTTCTCGGATAATTCTTGGTTTATAAAAGCGGATTACCTGTACCTGTATGAACATGGTATTGACCTAGAGCTGAAATTGAATCAGAATTGCGAACAGAAATGGAATGTTCATAAATCCTATTTTGGATTCTACGATTTGTTTGGCCTATATAGGATCGGGGACAGTCTGCACAAGGTATTTCATCAACTCAATGCTGTTTATTTGAAATATTATCTTTGATTGATCGGACAAGAGATAAAAGTTTTTGTTGGGGAGTAAATATCGTTTTTATTCCTCTTGGTTTCAGAATTCTGTCGATTTTGTCAGTGACACCTTTGATATAAGGAAGAAAAGCTTTCGTATGATAAGGGTCTGAGTTTTTGGGTTGAGATTGAGTTGGAGATTGATGTCTGTGAATGCTCCTATTGATGTGATTTTCGCGGTAACCGTTTTGGATTAGGGCTTGTTTTAAACAAGAGAGCTCAGCGGGTCTATTTGCATCATCGGAAAGGCGTATTGATCTAGAGACAAATGTATTAATGACTGAATTAATTTGTGAAGGTGGATGGTGAGAGTTGGCATGCAAATAACGATTGGTATGTGTGGGTTTTCGATAAACAGAGTAATGGAAACCTTTCGATAAACAAAGGATTGGTTTTTCTTGATGAAAACATCGAGAAACGGTAGGGATGAATCAGTTTCCATTTCCATTGTGAATACTAGTTGGATACTAGGATGTATACCATTCAGATGAGTTTAAAAAGACACTAAAGCATCCCTGCCATGGGGCCAAATGACGAATGTATCGTCAACATATCGTAGCCAGCATGGGGGCTTGAGCATTGATGTGGATAGTGCTCGGGTCTCGAAGTCTTCCATAAAGATATTGGCAATTACTGGAGATAGAGGGGAGCCCATTGGGGTACCATTTATTTGTCTGTAGAATTTATTTTGAAAGATAAAATAGGTGTTGAACATACAATGTTTAATGAGAAATAAGTGGTCTTGTTGAATACTGTATTTAGTTTTCAGAATATTTAAAGTTTCATCTATAGGAATGTTTGTAAAGAGTGAGACAATATCGAAACTTACTAGAATGTCTGACGGTGATATAGGGTATTGTTTAAAAAGTTCGATGAAATGAAAAGAGTTTTTGACGAAGGATGAAGCATTTTCGGCGAAAGGTTGTAGAGTTTTGGACAAATACTTGGCCAAATACTTTATGTATGTATCTTTCGGATAGGCTTAGATACCTGCTGTCGAGCCTCGTTTTGTTTGAGTTCTTGCTTTAATAGTTTTTTTGCCTCACTCTGCTACTCACACTCGTTAGCTAATTTTTTAGGTCTTGCTGAGCTTTATCATTCAGAAATCATTAAGATAAATTATTGAATATCATCATCAATTAACCTATATTTGTCCATTGCTGAATGTAGGCCTCCCGCAAAATTTTCCACCAATTTCTATCTTGAGCTTTTTGCATCTGGTTTGTGGTGATACGCTTGATGTCATCCGTCCATCTAGTCGTTGGTCGTCCTCTTCTTCGATATGCATCTTGCATTATTGAATAACGTCATTATTGAATACCAAGTTGCATATTTCTATTTCTTGCATTTTCAAAGCAGATCTTTTATATATAGTCATGGTATTATGCACACTTATTTTATTATTGGGTAATATATTGACTTAGTTCACATGATGGTATATTTGTTTTTATATTTTCTTCAACAATTTGCTTAACTTTGTTTCCTTTATCGTTTGCCTTATATAATAATATAAGAAACAGTATAAATATACCTAATTCCTTATAATAGTAAATAGTAAAATAATGGATTATAATTATTTTTCAGACTCACCAATTTTACTATCTTTTCCTCATTTCTACCTCGCTGATGACAAATATAGAACTGCATTGGAAGGAGTATCCCCACCTGATCCAGAAAAGCATAGCTTTTACATGGATGTTCAACCTGTAAGTATAAAAAAATAAAATAACATTTTTTAACTAAATAGGAGTAAAAGAGACAACATGTACTGAACAGATTGGTAATTCCGTAATAGTTTCTAGCACTGACATAATCTGCTCATTAATATAAATTTTTCTCAGATTTGAATTTTTTTCCGATTAAGGCTTATCCTCGAAAATTCTAACGGTAAATTTCAGTTTGCTATCTCTATTTTAAAAATTTCTTTCTTTACGAAAACAAAATCTGTTCATGAAGTAATATTCTAAACTTCGTTTAGATCTCTTTCAGGCCCAGGTCAAAAATGCGTTTACCTTTTACTCGAGCCGATTATACACCTAGACAACCCCTGCAGTGACAGGTTTTGGCTTACAATAAGACCATAAATCTCTTTAGTGGTATTTTGAGTAAATATAATATTAGATTAAAGTAATATAATCTATTTATAAATTTACAATGTAAAAAATGTACATACATAATTTATTTGTTATTTTTTTTACGGAAAAATTGACTGTCTGAAGTTTAACGTAGATTAAAGTTTACGGAAAATAAAAATTATAAAAAAAAGATTATTATTATATATCATAAAAATTTGATTAGTATCACGATCATTAAAATTGATAAAATAAAACGATATAAATATAGAATTTGTCTAATGTTTCTTCAGAAGGTGTTACAAATAAAAATTATAATAAAAATCTTATCTAATTAGTATCACGATCATTAAAATTGATAAAATGAAACTACATAAATATAGAATTATGTCTAATGTTTCTTCAGAAGGTGTTTCAAATAAAAATTATAATAAAAATCTTGAAATTTTTGTAGCATATTTTCCCACAGTTCCATATATTTATCAATCTTTTCGAATAAAATATTTTTTGGGGTCCATACCGCAAACTAACAGTATTCTCTATTCGATATAAATAACAAAATAACTGTCCTTGCACTGGATAGTAATAGAAATCAGTTCTTTTTAAAATTTCTTGAAGGAAGGAATAATTTAGTCACGCTATCATTTCCAATTTTGATTTTTGATATTGAATTTGATAGGTTGTGATTTATTACACCAAAATCTAATAAAATATACCATGACACAAGAAATAGTTTCAGAATAAGTTTGATGTGTTGTTTATATTCAGTAAGAGACTAATTTACTTCTTACAATGCTAATCTAACAGACAATTATTATTGTCAAATGAAAGAAATAAGATAATTTACTTGTGTGCTTGTGGTTAGTAAACGTCGGCCGTATGCAACTAATTGTCAACAAAGAACGGAGTACAAGAGTTTAGATTTATGAGATTTATGAGGAGCATTTATGAAACTTAAATGTATACTGAGTACTTATTTCAAAAATTTACAACTAAGGATTTAATTTGTTCTCTCTATGTTCTCTATATGTAAATATACTCCTAGATCTAGAGAAAATGGGAGTGCGACAATGGGAATTACTGGCACAGGACCGACAAACATGGAAGGCAATAGTAACCGCGGCAAAGACTTACGAAGAGTTGTAGCGCCATTGATGATGATGATGATGATGATGATGAAATATACTGTATAACTATTTATATGGATGTGAAATATGGATCATGAAGGATAATATGATGGACATTTTGACATTTTAGGATGTACGTTGAAAAATTAAGGCAAATATCGAGCACAAATTTAATAATCAGATCTTGCCCAAGTACTTTCGCTTTCTACAGCACCATCAGGGGAATCTGAAATAAGCCAAGAAAAGTTTTTTTAAATGAAGAAAATTAATAAACTTCGATAAAAACTCGAAGTTAATGGATGATAAAAGTTTTTTGTGATTAACATTTTAGACTTACTTCGTCAAATTTGGTCTATCCAGCAAGCGCAGATGCCCCTGATGATGCTGTAGAAAGCGAAAGCACTTGGGCAAGATTTGATTATTAAATTTGTGCTCGAAATTTGCCTTCATTTTTTCAAGTTCATTTATTCGAGCATTCAACCTTATATCAATAATTTAGGATGTGACTCAGGTATATGATAAAGTATGGCAAAGACGCCATAACTATAAACTAAGACTACATTTACCAAAACGATACTCTCAAATAATTGACTCCTCCATCTTGGAAAGATATTTCAGAATTAAACAGGAAGAAACATACATGGAATTGACAGATATTACAGCAGGGCTGCCACAAAGAAGTGTCTTTACCTTTTGTATACGTGTTATATTATTGTCCTAGAAAATATACAATTGCAACATTTACCGAAGATATTGCTATCAGAGCAATATGCAAAACCAGCGAGGAAGCGACAAAGAAATTACACAGATGTTAATCAAATATATACTCCAGGGAAATAAGCAAAAAATAGACCATGTTCGTGACACTCAATAATCCAGGTCGCTGACAACTTTTTTAGTTATTGTAGACCTCTAGGAAGAAAACCTACTTCTTTTTTTGCCTTGAATTTGGAGCTGTTTTTTAATTATTGACAATTTAATGCAAAAAACGCGACTGTTTCTATGATTATTGATACTAGTATTAAAAAAAAATAGATTTTTGGAAGAAAATTGTTTTGCACGAATTGTTTAAACAAACTAGACTATTTATTAATTAATTAATATATAAACAAATTACTAATTCCTAATGTACGTAGAAATTACATACAAATTAAAAATAGATCATACAAAATAAAAAAATAAGAATGATCAAAATTCATTGGGTAGATCCGGAGATATAGAAAATTTTATGAGTTTGAAATTGCTTGTTCGGTTTGGATTTGTAGGTTCTTCCTAGTCACCATTTGAACTACATTTTTGAAAATTCGTAGAGGGTCCTGTAAAGGTACAATGTTTGTGCAAATTTTTTAACAAAAAATACAAATCCCATTCCTTAAATGGCAAAAAATGAGGTTCCTTAATCATTATAATCAAATTAGCTGTGAATTGTCATCTTTTCTTTGACTTGATCTACTACTTGTTGTAATTGGTCGTAAAACACTTCCCTTGTTGTTTGAGGCTTATTATTTTCTAGGCCGTATACTCCGATAATGTTCAGGTTTTCCTTCTCCAATCTTATCTTTGATGTTATGAAACGCTCAATACTCTGGGAGTATTGGGTTTTTGGAAGTGTAGAACTTCCAAATTTCAGAAGAACTGAAAGAGAAGTGATGAAAAAAATACTAAAAATAGGGCTAAGCTCAGAGGAACAAATTTAAATGGCCAAAGAGACACTAAATCTCAAGTGAGTGTTCGGGCTAGCTTCAATGCACTGGATTGTGGCTTTAAAGATATAAACAACAATAACAAGAGATAATGAGCTAATGAGACAAGAAAGAAATGAGACCTGGTAATATCAAACGTGATACAACTGAAGAAGGTCACTGGGAATAAATTTATAGAAAGAGAACAATAAGAAGAGAAAAGAAGGGCGCCAACTCAACAATAGTTGAGATTTTGAAGTAACAAATGAATCTGGAGATAATACTCTGAAATACAAAAATACTAAATAATAATCTTGTTTTGCTATGTTATATACTGGTTAGTAGAACTGAAATAAAACTCAAAATAGCAACAATAAATATATTTATAAAAAATGTATATAGGTATATGTGTATAAACAATTTACATATAATGCAAAAACTAAATAACAGTGGTAGTGGGTGTGTAAAGATATAATAGGACCTAATAGCCCCTTAACAAGCAAATAGTCACTACCACTGGCCAAATAAAGTTTAAAATATTAGTAACAATTCAAGAATAGTCCGTATGATAGCCAAAGTCTTAACACAAAAAGGTAGTAATTTAACTTTAAATAGTTCTACTAATATGAGATACTAATGACAATATTGTAAAGATATCACACTTGATAAGTCTATTACAATTATTATATTACATCCAAAAAATGAGTCTTCAATACTCTTTATATAATGTTTAAAAAAAAACCACATGAAATTTATTTCCCTTCCCAAAATCAAAATTGTATTATATCAAAAATGTATTCTATTAAAAAAATATATATATTAAATCAACAAATGAGTTCGGTCAGACTCTGTATATCCTATTTAAAAACCTAATAAAACATGTAATATATTTTCTTCTCCCCAATATTTTTAGAATTAGATTATATCAAAAATTAAATTATCACAAAGGTATTCACCTTATCATATGCATATGAAAAGTTAACAGTAATAGAAAGTAACACAAAAGTCAAATAGTTAAACAACTTATCTTTACAGCCCCATAAGTCCATAGGAAAATTCCTCTTGGCACGGCTAAATCAGTTTATGGCTGTAAAGACGAATCCTGGGCACAAAGCCACAACCAGTCACTGGTCTCTGGGTGACAGCAAAATCCACGGGTTGTTAACTATTTAAGGATTCAAAGTTACTAGTATCCTTGAGGGAATATTCTCAAGAGAATACTCTCAAGTGAAGTGACGGAATCTAAAAAGGTTATGTAATTTAACAAATGTAATTTAATAACTGCACCAAAACAAAACATCAAAACATTAGGTTATGTCAACATGTCAGAATTTCCGAAGTTACTTCGTAGATATGACAGGCTTGCGCCATGAAAAGGACATGCGCAGAATACAGAAGGCTGTACCACATTTATAGAACCTTTTATATTCCACCAAAAAAAAGTGAGAGAAAAAAGAACCAAAAAACTTAATGATAACGACAGGGACTAAAACAGAATTTAAGTTTAACTATATAAAAAATGACCTTCTGTTCTTTGCAAGTAAATCAAGGAAATTTTATATTTAGATTATTTCGGAACTAAAAAATAAATCTCTAAAGAAATACTAAATACAATGATAAATTTGATTATATGATAAAGAGATAATACATATGAAATGATTTACTTACATGGAGTCGCAGCACGCCAAAAAAATCTTCCTTTTATGTGGAACTCTTTAGATTATTGATTTTAAAAATTTTACTTATTATTATTACTAAGATATGTATTTTATTTATGAATTAATTTATTCTTCCCCAAATTATCTTCCTTGCTCCAATTCCGTCA